CACTGGCCTAGTGCCTTCTCTGTTGCCCACTTTGTCTCCCCAACTTGGTGATCAATGCTGTAGAAAGTGTTTCCAATTACTCTTTCCAATGCACACAGTCCTTAGAAGAAATTCTTCTATTGATTGTGTGTTTTAAAACTCTTTGGGGCGGGGAGAAATCCCTGCTTTTGATTCTTTGCAAGTTTTCAAGCATCTCATTGCTCCAAGCCTTGTCGATATTGCCTTTCATGACACGACAACATATTGCACATAGCTTTTTGGAAGAAGGCAAAAGCTTCCAGGGATGATTTACAAGATGGGATGCCAAATGAAGAGACTCTTTTTGCAGATTTCAACAGGAGTGCCGCCAGGGCCTTATTTTTGTGCAGGACGACAGGGTTGTCAATGATTATTACTCCCGGAGCTCAAGGCCTTTGGACTCGTCCTTCCTGCAACGTTTGCCCTCCCTGGCCTGGAATGAAGTCTAAATCTAGCTCAGGTTGCAAACTCAGCGCTGCTGCAAGGCTGGAGTTTGCAGCAACAGAGCTTTCGGCAAGGCATGCAACCGAACTGATAGTGGGGTATTGGATCCCAAAGAGGAAAGAGAACTGTAGAATCCCAGAGTTGAATCCCAAGGCCATCAAGTCCAACCTCTGCTCCATGCAGGGCATCCCGTCTATAGAGCATCCCCAGTGAGGGAGCCGTCCAGACTCTTTCAGAAGGTGTCCAGAAATTGATGGTTAAGGAGGAGAATGGTGATGATGATCTATACACGCAATAAAAGTGAAAATATGTATGTGTACATGTGGCTGGGGTGTCCATTTCCACAGACAAGCTCCCGCGTCCACAAACAGCTATAGCTCCTACTACTCAGGAGACGCCAATTATTTTTTATTTTATTTTTTAAACTTATATGCCGCCACTCCCCTGGGGCTCGGAGCGGCTTACAAGAATGGCTAAAATCTAACAAGATTTAAAAGCAATTTAAAACAATTTAAAAACGACAATATCAAACATTAAAAGCCTGTCGAAACAGGTATGTCTTACATGCCCTGCGGAAAGCTGGTAAGTCCCGCAAGGCACAGACTTCAGGTGGCAGAGTATTCCAGAGTGATGGTGCCACTGCTGTGAAGGCTCTGCGTCTGGTTGCTGTTAGACGCAAGGTCTTGACACTGGGGACTTCCAATAGATCTTGGTCCTAAGAACGGAGGGATCTCTGGGGTTGGTAGGGGGTGAGGCGGTCCCTCAGGTACATCGGCCCCAGACCATGCAAGGCCTTAAAGGTGAGTACCATCACTTTGAAAGTGATCCGGTGCTCAATTGGTAACCAGTGCAGCTGCAGTAAGATTGGTGTTATGTGGCATCTCATCGGAATTCCCGCAAGAAGCCGAGCAGCTGCATTTTGTACCAACTTGAGCTTCCGGATCACCGACAGAGGAAGGCCAATGTAGAGGGCGTTACAGTAGTCCAGTCTTGAGATGACCGTGGCCTGGATCCATAGCTAGGTCGTCCCTGGACAGGTAGGGGGCCAGCCGTCTAGCCTGCCGCAGATGAAAGAAGGCAGTTCTGCTAACGGAGGAGACCTGGGCCTCCATCGTCAGCAGAGGATCCAAAAGGACTCCCAGACTCTTTACCAATGATGACGGGCGTAGCGCCTCGCCATCCAGGGTAGGCAGCTGGATGTCCCCACTGCCCGGTCGACCCAGCCATAGGATCTCCGTCTTTGCTGGATTCACCCTCAACCTGCTGGCACGCAGCCATCCAGTAACGGCCTCGAGGCACTGATGGAAACAATCGGGTACAGAATCCGGTCGGCCTTCCATCTTCAGCACCAGCAGGTTATAGAGAGTGCCATGAAAATGTCCAAGGGTCCTGCCAACGTCTCCTCAAATGCCATACTGTCCAACACCCAAGGGAAGGCTTTCATACAAGGACAATCTCTTCCTAGATTTTCTGTTTTTCCCTCACCACAGATATCCTGGTGTTTCTGACTCTCTCCATTGATGTGGCATTTGCATGACCCCACTGCCTCTCCCCGAACCCTTTCCTATTATTTTCTATGGCACACAGCAGACAGAGGAATTGATTCGCAGCAGAACATACTAGAGAGCTTTGGGGGAATTCACCATGATTTATAGGAGTTGTAGGTCCTGGGATGTATAGTTCACCTGCAATCAAAGAGCCAATCCAATCCAATAAGCCTTTATTGGAATATACATAGACTTGGCCACGGTGGTCCATGCTCTTGTTACATCCCGAATAGACTACTGCAACACACTCTATGTGTGGGCTGCCTTTGAAGACTGCCCAGAAGCTTGAACTAGTCCAACGGTCAGTATCCAGCGCAAACTTGCCCAACTTTAAGTACTGATGGAGTTTTTTTTGGGGTTAACCTGGCATGATCATAGAATCATAGAGTTGGAAGAGACCTCATAGGCCATTCAGTCCAACCCCCTGCCAAGAAGCAGGAATATTGCATTCAAAGCACCCCTGACAGATGGCCATCCAGCCTCTGTTTAAAAGCTTCCAAAGAAGGAGCCTCCACCACACTCCGGGGCAGAGAGTTCCACTGCTGAACGGCTCTCACAGTCAGGAAGTTCTTCCTCATGATCAGATGGAATCTCCTTTCTTGTAGTTTGAAGCCATTGTTCCATGTCCTAGTCTCCAGGGCAGCAGAAAAAAACTTGCTCCCTCCTCCCTGTGACTTCCTCTCACATATTTATGCATGGCTATCATATCTCCTCTCAGCCTTCTCTTCTTCAGGCTAAACATGCCCAGCTCCTTAAGCCGCTCCTCATGATGTGTGATGTAGTTCACCCACAACCTTATGCATTTTTGTACAATTAAAAAATGATGTTTTCAAATAATCTGGGCAATGCCGGGTACCTAAGCCATTATATAATATTTTTGCTTCTATTATCATCATCATGTAGTGCAATACTTTATACGTGCAAATAATATCCTTGCTGTTATTATAATGTAGTGCAATACTTTTGATTATTTGACCTTCCCAATAAACATATCTTTGATTTAAAAATTCTATCAGTACACATGTTACACTGTATTTTTTTAATAAAAGATACATAATAAAATGTATTTCTATAAAATAGAAAGACTATTACCTTTGTATATTCCCTCCACATATGAGCATTCCGTTTTTTCTTTGTTCTGCAGTGCCAACAACACATTGGGATTTTCCTTTTTATCATACATGCGACTTGGGCTGGGGTCCTAGACCATTTCAATATAAATTTCCTTTCCAATTCGTTATATTTCTCTATTTTGATTTTCTTATTTCTCTTCTTTAGACTCTCTGTTGTTTAACTTCTGATAGAAATTTTGTGTGTATTACCCTTATCTGTGTGGAGTTCCCATGTTTCTGAGTATGGATTGCATTTGTGGCTAATGGCATTTTCGGAGGTTCTGTTGACAGTGAAGCCGGGGGGGGGGGGGGGGGGGAGGAGAAGCTGTGGAATAATGTCCAGGGTGGGAGAAAGAACCCTTGTCTGTTTGAAGCAAGTGTGAGTGTTGCAATTAGAAAGCTTTATTAGCATTGAGTAGCCTTGCAGCGGCAAAGTCAATCAGTTAGGGTATCTGCATAGAGTTAACCTGGTTGTTGTTGCCTGAAGACATCCTCTGCTTGGGAGATGTTAAATGGCAGTTGATTGTTTTCTGTCTGGAGTTCTCCTGTTTCTGAGTGCTGCTCCTTATTTACTGTCTTGATTCTGGTGTTTTTAATACTAGTAACCAGATTTTGTTCCCTGTCATGGTTTCTTCCTTTCTGTTGAAATTGTCCATGTGCTTCACAATGTAGTCTGATGTGGTGGTTGTCAGAGTGGTCTAGAACACCAGAATCAAGAGAGTAAATAAGGAACAGCACTCAGAAACAGGGGAACTTCAGAGAGATATATTATTATTATTAATCATTAATGATTAATTATTAATTATTATATGGTTGTTTATGTTATTATATTGTTATATTAGTATTATATGTCATGTATTATTAATTATGTTATTATTTATTATATCATTATATTATTATTCATTATATTATTATTTGTTATATTATTGTCATATTATCTATATAAATAAAAAGGTAATGTTTGTTTGTGGGATTAACAGAACTCAAAAACCACTGGGGGAATTGACACCAAATTTGGACACAATACACCTAACTACCCAATGTATGTCCTTCAGTCATAAAAACACTGAAAAACACAGCAGAAGGGACTTAAAAAGCCCCCAAAAGCTAAATGACAATACAGAAAAAAGGGAAGAAAGAGGGAGGGAAGGGGAGAAAAGAAAGAAAGAAAAGAAAGAGGGAAGAAAGAAAGAAGGAAGGAAAGGGAGAAGGAAGCAGGGAAGCAAAGAGAGAAGGAAGGAAGGAAAGAGGTAGAGAAGGAAGAAAGGAGAGAAAGAGGGAGGGAAAGAAAAAGGGGGAAGGAAGGAAAGTTAGAGAAGGAAGGAAGGAGAGAAGGAAAGAAAAAAGGGAAAGAGGAAGCGAAGGAAGGGGGGAATGTAGAGAAAGAGGGAGGGAAGGAAAGAAGGAAGAAAAGAGACAGCAGAAGAGAAGAAAAGGGGGGAAGGAAGGAAAGAGATAGAGAAGGAAGGAAGAAGAGAAGGAAAGATGGGAAGGAAAGAAGGAAGGAAAGAGGGAGGGAGGGAACAAAGGAGAGAAAGAGGGAAGCGTGGTGGGTACAGCTAGTATTATAATATTGTTATATTATTGTCATATTGTATTATTATTAATTATTTTTGTGGTTATATCATGTTACACAGTATTACCTATTTCTCCTTTTCATCATCGAAAGAAGTAACTCTTGTGGTGCCAAAGGGAAGCTTCTCCTGGGCCTTTCACGGCTATTCCACATCTTTATTAATAACTTGGATGATGGAATAAGAAGGCAGGCTGATCGTATTGGTAGATGGGACTGAATAGGGAGGGATACGCTCAGAACTCGAAGGACAGGATCCAAAATTTGTTGTCTCACCTGCCTTTTCCTTTCCTTTCTTCCTTGCAGTTTGCCCCAGTATCAACATCCGGAACAACGTCACCCTCTTTAGCCTCTTGGAGAACTGCACGGTGATCGAGGGCCACCTTCAGATCCTGCTCCTGTTCCACACCAAAGGCGAGGACTTCCGGGGACTCAGTTTCCCCCGCCTGACTGTCATCACCGACTATTTGCTCTTCTTCCGGGTTTATGGCCTGGAGAGCCTCAAGACACTCTTCCCTAACCTGACCGTCATCCGTGGGACGCACCTCTTCTTCAACTATGCCCTGGTCCTCTTCGAGATGCCTCACCTCAAGGAGATAGGCCTCCACAGCCTCATGAACATCACCCGGGGTGCCGTGCGCATCGAGAAGAACCCTGAGCTCTGCTACCTCTCCACCATTGACTGGTCCCGTATCTTAGACTCGGTGGAGGACAACTACATTGTGGAGAACAAGGACGACAAGGAGGAGTGCGGGGACGTCTGCCCGGGCTTGGCCGAAGGGAAGAGCAACTGCCTGCCCACCATGTTCAACGGCATCTTCACCGCCCGCTGTTGGACCTATGAGCATTGCCAGAGAGGTAAATTATTATTATTATTATTATTATTATTATTATTATTATTATTATTATTATTCGATACATAACAAGATTTGTACACAGCAAACAAGTTCTGTATGCTGGCTTTTGTATTTGATCACACGTCGGACACTTCCCAAGTGTCTAGGACTGTGTGATGTATCGGCGGATGATGCACGAAGATCCAAGTAGGTTGGCCTTTTGCAGCTGACAGTTGGTCATTTTGTCAGCGCTGATTGTTTTTAAGTGATGGCATTGCTGACCAGTAGTGCTGCAGAATTCGAAGAGGCACAAAGGGAGAAATGTACCAAGAGGAACGTGCGTCAAGCCAACCCTGACTGGGACTGCCTTCCACTTGGAAACCAATATCCTTATTGCGAGAGAACATGCGGATCAAGAATAGGGCTCCACAGCCACCTATGGACCCACCGCCAACACACCACATCTGGATGACCATCATCCTCAAGTTTCAAGGTATCTCCTAAGTAAGTTTTTAAGTGCAGGCCAAGGTCTTTAGGCACTGCACCCAGTGTGCCAATCACTACTGGGACCCCCTTGACTGGCTTGTGCCAGAGTTTTTGCAGTTCTCTCTTTAAATCCCTATATCATGTAAGCTTTTCCAATGGCTTTTTGTCAATTCTGCTGTCACCTGGGATTGCGACATCGACGTACCATATTTGTTTTTTTTAATAAAAATAAGAATAATTATTATTTTGTATTCTGCTTTTTCTCTCCACAAGGAGACCCAAAGATTCTATATATTTATTATTATATTAGGTAAAGGTTTCCCCTTGACATGAAGTCTAGTTGTGTCCGACTCTAGGGGATGGTCCATTTCTAAACTGAAGAGCCGGCTTTGTCCGTAGACACCTCCATGGTCATGTGGCCGGCAGCACTGCATAGAGCACTGTTACCTTCTGGTAGAACTGGTACCTATTGATCTATTACATTTGCATGTTTTCGAACTGATAGGTTGGCAGAAGCTGGAGCTAACAGGTAGTTCACCTTGCTCACCAAATTCGAACTGCCAACCTTTTGGTCAGCAAGTTCCACTCAACAGTTTAATCTGCTGTGCCACTTTATTATTATGTTCGTTTTTTATGTCCTAGTTTTTCTCTCCACCAGGAGATTCAAAGTGGCTATATCTATTATTACTATTAGAATGTGTTGTTTTTGTTGTTGTTATTCTCCCAACCAGGAGACTCAAAGCAGCTAGGTATAATGTATTATTATTATTATTATTATTATTATTATTATTATTATTATTTTATACCCCACCTTTTCTCTCCACAAGTAGACTCAAAGTAGCTGTGTATCTATTATTAGTTTTAGAACATATTATTATTATTATTATTATTATTATTATTATTATTATTATGTTTATTTATTTATACCAGGGATCCTCAAACTAAGGCCCGGGGGCCGGATACGGCCCTCCAATGTCATTTACCCGGCCCTCGCTCAGGGTCAACCTAAGTCTGAAATGTCATGAAAGCATACAACAATCCTATCTCATCAGCCAAAATCAGGCCCACACTTCCCATTGAAATACTAATAAGTTTATATTTGTTATAATTGTTCTTCAATTTAATTATTGTATTGTTTTAAGTGTTTTTGCACTGCAAATAAGATATGTGCAGTGTGCACAGGAATTCATTATTATTTTTTTCAAATTATAATCCGGCCCTCCAACAGTTTGAGGGACTGTGACCTGGCCCTCTGTTTAAAAAGTTTGAGGACCCCTGATTTATACCCTGCTTTTTCTCTCCACCTGGAGACTTGGTGACTATGTATCTATTATTATTAGAAACTACCCGTCTCCTGCCACATGTTGTTGTGGCTCAGTCTGTGTATATGTGTTTTGTGTGTATATGTATGTATATATATTTGTGTATATGTGTGTTTTTGTATGTATATATATGTGTGTGTGTGTGTGTGTGTGTGGTTTTGCGCATGCATTGTAATGTATTTTTTATTTTTTGGCTTTTTAAGTCTCTTCTGCTGTTTTTTCCAGTGTTTTTATGAGTGATGGTCACTCGCTGGCCTGATAGGAGTATGGTGTCCAAATTTGGTGTCAATTTGTCCAGTGGTTTTTGGGTTATGTTAATCCCACAAACTAACATTGCATTTTTATTTATATAGATTATTATTGTATTGTCGAAGGCTTTCATGGCCGGAATCACTGGGTTAATGTAGGTTTTTCCGGGCTATATGGCCATGTTCTGGAGGCATTTTCTCCTGACGTTTTGCCTGCATCTGTGGCAAGCATTCTCAAAGGTAAACATCCCACTACCTCTGCTTGCCATAGATGCAGGCAAAACGTCAGGAGAAAATGCCTCCAGAACATGGCCATATAGCCCAGAAAAACCTACAACAACCTAGATTATTATTATTTCCCGCTTTTTCTCTCCACCTGGAGACTCAAAGTGGCTATGTATCTATTATTAGTATTAGAATTTATTATTATTATTATTATTATTATTATTATTATTTATATCCCGCTTTTTTCACTTCACCAGGAGACTCAAAGCAGCTATGTATCTATTATTAGTATTATTATATTTATGTTTGTTTTTGTTTATTCAGCTTTGCTAGTCCACTGCCCATGATGGCAGCTTTTTTCCTTTTTAAAGGAACTGCAGAAGCTGCGGGGTGAACGGGTTGTGTCAACACAGCCTGTCTTATCTTTAAAATGTTTTATCATGTTATCCATTTAAGATGCCTTGCTTGTGTTTGGGGCTTGCCAGGAGAGAGAAAACAAAGGCTTTGGTTTGATTGCTTGCTAAACTCATTTTCGCATTTACTTCCACGCCCAAAGCCGGCATGTCGCTACTGTTTTCTTATCACTTTTTAAAGAGATGTGTTATACAAGCATTTTAAGTGGAAGCACTTAAACAGTTGATATACAACTTGGTAAAACTCTTCAACAAGAAAACCTTCCGGGTTTTGCGGAGCATCTAATTATTATTATTATTATTATTATTATTATTATTATTATTATTATTATTTGATACACAGCAAACAAGATCACTCTGCCTTTTGCAGCCTTTTGCAGCTGACCTGTGGTAATTTTGTCAGTGCCGATTGTTTTTAAGTGCAGGCCAAGGTCTTTAGGCACTGGGATCACCTTGACTGGCTTGTGCCAGAGTCTTTGCAGCTCGATCTTTAAATCCTCGTATTGTGTAAGCTTTTCCAGTTGCTTCTCGTCAATCCTGCTGTCACCTGGGATTGCAACATCGATAATCCATACTTGTTTTTTTTCCACAATCGTGAAGTCAGGAGTCTTGTGCTCCAAAACTCTGTCAGTCTGAATTCGGAAATCCCAGAGTGGATTGATGTGATCATTTTCCATAACTTTTTCAGGCTTATTATTATTATTATTATTATTATTATTATGTTTATTTATATTCTGCTTTTTCTCTCCATAAAGAGACTATTTCAAGTTGAACTGGACATTGACCATAATAAAGTGAACTTGAACTGGAAATAGTCTCCTTATGGAGAGAAAAAGCAGAATATGAATAATAATAATAATAATAATAATAATAATAAGCCTGAAAACGTTATGGAAAATGACTTGAGATGAGGGACATAGTCCCGCGCAAGCATATCAGAGCCAAGGGTCAAGAGATTTAAAATAAGTGTATCACTGTTAGGACATTAAGATAATTAATTTAAGAATCTAAGCAAAAAGCCATATATAGGATTACTGTATTTACTCGAGTATAAGCCGACCCGAATATAAGCCGAGGCATCAAATTTTGCCACAAAAAGCTGGGAAAACATATTGACTCAAGTATAAGCTGAGGGTGGGAAATGCAGCAGCTACTAGTAAATTTCAAAATAAAAATAGGTGTAGTAGGTTAAATGTTTTTGAATATTTACACAAAACTGTAATTTAAGATAAGATTGTCCAACTCTGATCAAACGGTTATTCTAACCTATTCTAAATGTGCTTATGTATCCTTCCAGTAGTAATAAAAATAGTAAAATAATAAATGTAATAAAATAATAATAAATAAAATAATGGAAATGTAATAATAGCAACAATAATAGAGTAAAATAATAAATAACCTTGATTCGAGTATAAGCCAAGGGAAATTTTTCAGCCTTAAAAAAGAATGGAAAAACTCCAGTTATATTCATGTATATACGGTAACTAAAATCAATTCAAACACAATTTGTGTTTTCATCAATATGTCCCACCATCCCTATCTCATCTCTGTCTCCAATGCTTGTTTTTTGTCTGTCCTGGCAGACAAAGCAGAGGATAAAGGCTCCTTTCTGCCCTTGAATTTCAACAAGGAAGGACTCCTCTCAAAGGCCTTTGTGTTCACTGGTTTGGATTGGTTGCCTTTCTAACACAGAGTTTTACTTTACTTGCTCTGTTTTGAGTGTGAGTTCCTTGTTTTTTCAATATTTTTTTTCAGCTGATGGGTTGTACAGCATGTGGATTTAGGAAAGAAAAACCAGAAGCAACTTGGAAGGATGAGGTGTATGAAAATACAGTCATAAAAATAGTAATAACTGTCATAATAATGGTAATAATTGGCATAATAACAAACATTATCATAATAATAAATATAACAATACTAATAAAAACAGTAATAGTCATAATAGTCACAAAAAAGCTCTAAAACTCTAAAAAAAACCCTCTAAAATTACAACAGCACGACAACAGAGAGGAAACATTAGATGCCCTTGTCAGTTCATTATATGCTAATCAGGGTAGTCAGTTGAAACATTCACACCTAGCTCCAGCAGACAAGAGTCCTTTGTCCCACCCTGGTCGTTCCACAGATATATAAACCCTTTTTCCTAGTTCCAACAGACCTCACTACCTCTGAGGATGCTTGCCATAGATGCAGGCGAAATGTCAGGAGAAAATGCCTCTAAAACATGGCCATATAGCCCGAAAAAACCTACAACAACCCAGTGATTTTGGCCATGAAAGCCTTCAACAATACATAGTCACAATAATAATTAGCATAATAATAATCATA